GTATTTTGTTCCTGAACCCTCCAAACTCATTAGAGGTACTCACCAGGCTAGAGGTGCTCACCGGGCTCTGATTAATGTGCAGACATGTAAGACAGTGGAGAAAGTTAAGGTTGGAGGTAGGACTCCTCTCCCTAGAGCCTCTGCTCTCGGGTGGATTGATGGTGGGTTCCCGTGTCTATGCAAGTTCGGACGTAATTAGCAATGAGTAGGAAGGTCTTGCTAACGTGTTACCCCCTGGGACGTATAATTTTTTTTACATTACTGAATTTTTCTTACATTACTGTTATCTTCTGTTGGGGTGGCTCTACATGTATCTGTGTGTGCGCAGGGAAGGGGGTGAAGGGCGGAAGCTGAACTACTGAGGTTATCCTGTTCTGTCAGTTTGGATTCTAAACCTGTGCACTTTGCTAACCTCCAAGATGGTTTGGATGTTGCCCTCAACTGCTCTGTGGTTCACTGTTTCTCAATTTAACATCTCTCTTCTGTTAGTCACTCCTAAGCTGTAAAACTGCCCAATGCATGTGATGGCTTATGGTATGGTGATAATTCTTTTTTCTCTTTGTCTTTCCTTCCTCAGATTGCGACATTATTAGTGGTAATTCTGTAATTTTTGTATCTTGGTTTTGAATTAATTGCATTTTCATGAGCCCTGGGGATTGACATTTTTTCCTCTTTTTATAAAGCTTGATAATGTCAAATTGTCTTGAAAATATGATTTGTTCACTTTATTTCAGAGTCCTGCTCAATATTAAGTATGAGTTATACAATCATATGTTCAGTTTGATTCCACTTTTGCCTGCATATAACATGTGTGTGCTTGCGCACACATACACACACTTCATGTGCAGAAAAATACTCTGGAGGGATATGTTCCAAGAGTAATCTTTACCCTAAAAAATGGGACTCAATGATTCTGTTTCTTCTTTTTGTTCATTTATATTTTCTAATTTTTCCTGCAATATGCACCCTCTGTTTATATAATTAAAATTTAAAAAGCCATTCTCCAGCTTTCTGTAATATCAGTGCAAGCAAGATCTGACACCCACCACTGGTGCTGTTACTGGTAATTTATTTAAATGCTTTATTTGAAATGGCACTTATTTTTGGAAAATGTTGGGACAACTGAGTCACCCATCGTATTTTAGAAAAAAAGATGAAACAAGAAACTCCAAAGGAACAGGTGTAGATTTGCTAGGCAGAGGTCTGCCTCGTACCGAAAGGTTTTTGGGTCAAGATACATGTATGTACATGAGCTCAGATGGAACTTTCCTGAGCCACAGAGGGGCCAAATTTAGCAGTGAGCTAAGGCTCCTGGTCACTTGGTGAGTCACCTGGCAGAGAAGGGCTAGGGTACGTATCCCGAGGCTTTGTAGATTGAAAAGATGTGCAGTGAGCACACTGTGTTCCTAGAACTCGCTGGGCTTGCCTGTCTCCAGTGACAACATTACCAAGCACTTCCCAGAGCTACGGCCAGCTGCTGAGCGGGCTCACAGCCTCCAGGGCCTTAATGAATCTCAGCTCATGGGCAAGCTCAAGCTCAGTTGAAACAGGGCAATAAATTGAAATTATATCCTCATGGGTCACTGTATACTTTTAAAAACCAAAGTTGGCTTTCCTTGGGAAACACTATTTTACTAGATTGAGCATGTACCCCCTTCTTGCCGTCCTGGGCCCAGCAAGGTGCTGGTGTGAGTGGTGGCTGTTCACGATGGCAGAGTGAATGGTGGAGAGGAAGGAGGTAGGTGATGTAGCCAATGGACTTTGGTGCACAGTGGGATCAGCGGTGTTTGGTGCTGATGGTTGGGAAGAAAGAATGTGGGAGGTAGACACACCAGGTCCTGAACCCAATTCCCATCACGTATTTTGTAGTAACCTCGGAGCCTCAGCTTTCTTATTTCTGAAGTGGCACAAAGCAGATTTCTTTTTTGATTTATCGTGAGGCTAATGACAAGGACTACATGGAAAATAACAGTCTGGTACACAGCAGAATTGCAGTCTTCCTTTCCCTCTAGTCAGTTTCCAGGCTTGTTGCCGACAATGAGCATCGACCAAAGGTTCACGGGCTTTTTGTGCAAAGGGACAGATAGTAAATAGTATTTTAGGTTTTGTGGGCCAGGGGGCAAAATTGGGAATATTATGTACATATTTATATAATAAAGAAAAAAGCAAATTTCACCAATTTTTAAATGATATTCAAATATAATTGAATTTTTTCTAATATAAATAGATCTACCAAAGAAAAGAAAGGGGTTCACATCTACCAGTGAAAAGGAGTTTTTTTTCTGGGGAGACATTTCACTTAATTGGGGTTCAGTTAGTGTTCCCTATCATCAAATTGATGCCCATGTTCTTCTGTATAAGCCATTCTTTTTTAAAAATCTTTATTATTGAAAGTGTTACAGATGTCCCTTTCTCTCCCCCCATTGCCTCCTTCCAGCCTCCCCCAGCCCCAGGCCTTCACCACACTATTGTCTGTGTCCCTGGGTTATGCCTTTATGCATATAAGTTCTTTGATTAATCTCTCCCCACCCACTACCCCCTCCCCCCCCTTCTTCTGAGACCCCTCAGTCTGTTCCGTGCTTCTGTGTCTCTGGATCTATTTTGCTCATCACTTTATTTTGTTCATTAGATTCTACATATGAGTGAGATCATGTGATATTTGTCTTTCTCTGATTGGCTTTGTATAAGCCATTCTTAACTTCCAGGCCATACAAAAACAAGTGCACAGCCCATAGTCTGCCAATTCCTGCAGTAGACATCATCAATGATGCCAGTCTCTGCTTGTGCTCTAACCCAGCCACCCGTGGTGAGCAAATAACGTGAGATCATAATTGACCCATAAGCAGCTGTCGGAGGCCTGCAATCTGGAGGGGAGGATGATTAAGTCTTTAAATAAACGGGCTTCTGGAAGCTGACAGAGTGCACAGTTTATTTCATCAAATGACTCTTTCAAGAACATCTCCTTGTGTGGCTGAGTCTGGAAAACAATAGGAAGAAATGATCAGGCCACATAAGCTGATCGCCTAGGCAGAGAGATCAAGCGGCGAATGGTCAGGAGTGAACAGTTACTCAGGTTCTTTCTGCTTTCTGTCAGTTAGGAAATGGACATGCCTGTGTTTAGTGAAGGATTAAAACTTGGCACATACACTATCAGAGGGTCCCTTCCTGGTGACACTCCCTCTGACCTGTGTGGCTGGTTCCTACATAGATGTGAGCAGATAGGAGCCGCTGAATAGAGACAGTGCTTTCTTTTTTTTTCTTCTTTTTTAAAAAATATATCTTCATTGATTTCAGAGAAAGGAAAGGACAGGGAGAGAGAGAGAGAAACATCAATGATGAGAGTCATTGATTGAGCCCGCAACCTGGGCATGTGCCCTGACCGGGAATCGAACCCTGATCACCTGGATCCCTGGTTGACGCTCAACTGCTGAGCCACGCCCGGCCAGGCGAGACAGTGCTTTCTTTACAGGCCTCATTGCATTGTGTTCATGACAATGAATCCAACTCCACCTACCAGGGCAGTTTCCAGTGACATACATGAGACGCATTAAGTAATTTTTGATCTTAATGATGAGTGTGCATTGGCATAAAATCAAGCAAAATAGGTTATTAAGCATCGATTCTGAAGCAAAAAAATAATTCAATATTCCACCCAGAATCCTGCATGTGCAATGAGGAGCATGGCGGGAGGGTCACTGTGGCTCCAGTGATTCTGGACCCCACAGCTGTGGCCGATAGCTGTGGTTGAGGCCTGGGCACATTGCCAAGCTGGTGTGGGCTCCCTGAGCTCAGGGTTTGGATAAAGCTGAGGCTGCACCTTAGCATATTTCACAGAGAAACATGAGTGATTCATTCCCAGGTGGGGCAAGGAAATCAGATTTTGATGCATGTGTTTTAACCCTTTGCGATCGTATTAAATTTGGACATGGGTGTCGTACTGGTTGGAATTAAGAGCTTTCAGAGAAATTATGAACTGATACTTGAATGAATAGAGTTAAGATTCGTACGGTTCCTTGCTGTGGTGGCTGAGAGCAGACATACGACTGGAACGGTAAAAAAGCTTTGGTGGCTGAGAGTAGACAAACAACCGCAAAGGGTTAAAAACCCCATATTTGTATATTTAGAGTGCTGAGTATTTCACAACAGCTTTGCTTGAGGAGAGAAATGGGGAGCAGCCCCTGAGCACACAAACATGCATCTCACATTTTATCTGATTCAGATTCACGTAGTTCAATCACCCAGAAATGCTCTGATAAAAACAGGAGCAAAAGAACATGGGGCGTATCCTTCACGTAAAGGAAATACTAATATAAGTGTATATTAGTAAAAGTGGAAAGCAAATATATAGTGGAAATTATCCAGTGGAATAGAAGGATCAGGGTGAGTCTTAGGGTTAAGCAGCGTGACAGGACATCTTTGATAACTGAATTGCCAACCGAGGAACATGTGTGTTTCTGAGTATGTGTGCCATATATATGGAAGAGGGCTGAAACACACAGACCCAAAGAGACACAGATACATTAGAAAGGATCCAGGGAGAGCTAGCTAGCTATCTACTATTTGTGTGAGAAAAAGAAATGATACCCAACTGTGCACATAATTTGAAATTTATTGAATGCCTGTGGGTATTATGTGTGTCAGTGGTGATAATGATTTTTAGGGCAAGGATTTTAACTTTTAGGACACTTGAATTGGGAAAGTGCTTATACTTTCTTATAATTAACTTCTCCTTAGAAAAAGTAGCTGTTTATAAAGCAGAAATATTTTCATGTGTTGTTTTAGCTGAAGAGCAATTTTTAGTCAGAGTATATTTAGCAAGTGAGCTTTGGTGGTGGGTTTAAAAAGTATTTCCTCTCCGAGCTGATGCAGATACATTTTTTTCTCCATTGGTATGTCTAGAGAACACAGAGCAAATGCATTTTCTTTTAGTTTAATCTAACAAATTGGGGTAAAATATACAATTTGCTTAAGGATAAATGTCAAGAAAAAAGACTGAAGTATACTTCCAAGCAAAATTTATTAGATGTCTATTCAAGAAAAACACAATGACCTTTGCTTGTGAGAATTCAAAGTCAATGACCTGAAAGCCAGGCATGAATATTTTTTCCTTTTAAAATCAGTTACAGAGGGTAGAAACAGTCATTTTTCTTAAATACGACAGGCAACAGATATTGAAGTCTTTTCTCATAAATGGCATGGAAGATAATTACTCATTTATCAGCAAAGCTGCATGCAGTTGACCTAATTTCAAACCCAAGGCCTTTAAAATAGAAAGCTGGCTGTGAACTTGACAGTAATCAAGGTAGGCTACTCAGAGATGTTTCTTTACCTTCTTCCTATTGAGATCCCTCTGTATTCGGTATTTATGTACATTTCGGTTTGGCTGCTAAGGTCTTTTAAGCTCATAAACTTCTGCACAAATGCTATCTTACAGAATCACACTATTGAGGCGTGCTTATGATCAGTGGGATATACAAAGGATCATCTTTAGCTTGGTTTAAGTAAAGGACAAAGACCAAGTTAGGAAATTCCCTTGTTTTCTCAACGACTAAATAGTCTGTACAAAAAAAAGAGCAAACATATGTACAAAATTCTAGAGTCTACGTACATTGTGAAAAGGTCAATCACTGTCCACAGAAGAAATGCCATAAAAAGTTTTATCTATAAGGTGCTCAAGATCCAAATATGAATAGTTCTTATGCAAAGTCATAAGAAATACAAAGCTAGTTCTCAGAGGGTGTGTAAGTCAGGCACTGTGAATCACATTAAATCTCTCAGGTCCTGGTATCATTTTGTAAATTTCTACCTCAGGGCAGAAAATAGGACCTGAATGATTTAACGTTACCTCTAAAAAAGTGCCTAATGTATTCCAAGGAAATATTTTACACACACCAGGAAAATCGTGCTCAACATATTCCTGTCCTCAAATGTAGCCAGGATTCTGAGTTCCATAGAAGAAAAATAATTGTCATAGTAAAAATAATTGTATTGATCATAATTCTTGCTAAAACCAGCCTTCATACCTGTGATACTTCTAAAGTTCTCTATTTCTATAAAATAATGTGTGGGATTCTTTTGCATTTCCATAAAATGTACGACACATCACATGGATTGCCTGTTCTCATACAATCGCAAATGCCTATGTGCACACACAGTGAAATCCTACCTATGGATATTGCTTACGGATACTTTCAAGTGTCTATGTTAGAATAACGTTTTGCATCTCTCACTAACACTGCTTTTATTTAAACTTTATCAGATAAATAAAACACTAAGAGCTCATTGTTCAGGATGCTGATTATTACATTTTAATATAAAATAGCAATGCAACTTTACAACACAGTATTTTTTTTTTGTAGTCTAGCTAAACCTCTTATAGTCTCATGATTATTACCGAAAGCTCTTATTCACTTACTGTTTGCACTTCTAAAAAGTACAAAAGAATTGCAGGAGGAGACAGCTATTCGAAAACTCACATCCAATCAACAAAAATCACACTCATCCGAATTAGCCTTTCTACTCTCGCTTTAGGTTTTGTAATCACTGTGCACATTACAACATAGAAGTGCAGGCAAACAATAGCTGAAGTACAGTTGTCATGTCGTGTAAACTAGGACACTAGGCAAACTCGTGAAAGGAAAATATGCCGCCAAGCTAAGAGTGTGAAAACGCACACTGCAGTATTTAGTGATAAACCATCTCCTGCTCGCCTGAGGGGAGGAGCATCTTCCAAAGTGGACCAGGGAGCTTCCTTGAGACACTTTCATTTTTTTTTTTTTTGCCTCCAATATTTAACCCTTTTTAAGTATAATGATTTTCTTTCTGATTCCAACATATAGACTTTTCAAAAAGCAGCAAAATGCACTTTCAAGCAGAATATGCCTGTCACCCTCCCCGAGGCTCTGGCGGTTACTCTTTGGGTGGTCTGGTGGCAGGTGGAGAAGGTGATGGTGGGTGACTTCTACTGGAAACCATGAGGCATGTCAGCGGGAGGCCTGCAGGGGTCTTTGGGGCAAGGTTCTGCAGATGTGCTGAAATGCAGCATAAACAGGAGGGAGGGTGGCTCACAGCCTCTTGACATAGTTTCCGGGGAAAGTACCAAAGAATTTGGTTCTTCTGGAGGTTCCTGTGAAGAGAAGCAATAAATGAGAGGGGTAGTTGACAATGAAATATCAGGTCATAGGCCTGGGCTTGGAAACGCTTCCTTTCTGAGGCCTCCCTAAGAGAGCTAGCCCCGCAGGGTCTGGAGAAGGAAACTCACTTTGACACTAGGAAGACAGCAATTATCTGTGCCGCCTGCTGCACTCACAACCTTGGGATTGAGCGCTCCGCTCCCACCACCCCAGGCTGGACAGAATAGCTCAGCCCCTCAATCTGATGGGAGCCGATCGTGCTGGGAGTGGATTTTTGAGTCTACTAGTACTTTGGTATAATGATGCTTCATCACCAGGGCTTTAGGCAAGAGTGGGGAATGGAACAGGAAAAGCGTTCGGGGACTGACATTTTTGAGTATGATCTTCTAAATAAAGATGAGGCTGGCAGTGGACAGCGTGGCCTGGAAAAGTGCAAGAGCCACGTTAGGATCAGTGATCCAGGTGTGCCACATCTCAACCCAGGTGTCACATGAAGGCATTAGGAGGACACCGTCACTGTCCAGCTTCACTGTCTCACAGGAGATCATGCTGAATGCCGTGTGACTCATTTACAACTAGCACTGCTGGAGTCCTTAATAAAATATAGAAAAATGAAAAACCGCTATTGGTGGTTGGGGCTCTATCATTGGGCACGATTTCTACTGAGTGAAAGCAGGTGCACAAATGGCTGTCGTTGATCACCTTTGGTTTCGAAGAACACACTTCCTTTGAAACTTTGTGTAAAAGCTGGTGCACTAAGTTCACCCTTAGGATTTCCAGCGCAGATTGAGGGAATGGGGTCTCCCCAGTTCCATTTCTCATGTACGCCCTGGAACTTAACGTCGGGTTTGATGACTGATCCTTTGTCCCTGCGTAGCTAAGCCATTTTCCTTCCATTCTAAGTGGCGAATGAACGGAAACAGAGGCAGGGGCTCGTGGCTGCAGTGTGGCTGTGGGTGTCATTATTTCCTTCCTGGGCCTGTCTGTAGAAAGTGTTCATGCCCTCATCTGTTGTCTCCCCCATCCTCCTAGCCTTTGTTTCTCTTTGCCTCTTTCCTGTGTGCCCTGCTGTGCGATGCTCTTGTCCACAAATGTTCTCTCAGAAAACTTCTGGTCTTCCCTCAAGGTGTGAGAGTGAGACTGTCTTTTCAGTGGCCTTCCTGCACAGTTGAAGGCTAAGGTAAATCGCCGGGCTCCTAGGGTAACTGCAGTAGACCCGGTACCTGGGTGAATTGTGCACTTGCCCCTGTTCTGTCAAATCGGCCCTCAACGCCAACAACTAACGCTCTCCACTGAACAGAGCAGTCATCCTTCCTATCCAGGGGACATTTCCCTTGCTGTCCTCAGATCTCAGCCTTCCCTGGTTGGTGCTATTTAAGGGCATTGTCTTCTTCTGGTTGAACCGGAAAGAAAGTCAGCAGAAAATCACCTCTACCTGAAGCGGTCAATACTGACCTATATTAAAAATGCAACTGCCTGGGGATTACATAGTGCCCATGAATGTGTGAAAGATCAAAGGCATTATGAACTCAAAGAAAGCTTGAAAGTCACACCCAGCCATGCCAGGAAGGAAACACAGCACGTTTAAAATGGCCAAATGTGGCCCGGCCGGGCATGGCTCAGCGGTTGAGCGTCGACCTGGGATCCGGGCAATCAGGGTTCGATTCCCGGTCAGGGCACATGCCCAGGTTGTGGGCTCGATCAATGACTCTCTCATCATTGATGTTTCTATCTCTCTCTCTCCCTCTCCTTTCCTCTCTCTGAAATCAATAAAGATATATTTAAAAAATAAAATAAAAAATAAAATGGCCAAATGTGCCTGAAAGGAAATGTGCACGTACCCACGAACCATCCATCATCACACTTTTCCATCACGTCGATCACATCACTTTCTCTGAGCTCCAGCTCGTCTTCATTCCTAGGAGTATAGTTATACAGAGCCTGAAACCTTAAACAGGACAAATGGATGCGTTTAAAAAATATCTTTACACCTGTGTGAAACTATAGAAGATATGCAAGATTAGTTTTACTTTTAAGATTTCTATTCTTATTGTCATATAATTAGGTAACATTAGTCTTTGGTAAGCATGTAAATAGAAATATTTAGACTCCCAGGGGAATTAAATCACTATTAGCATTTCAAAACTCGCAATGAGGAATATTCATGGAAGATGATAACATCCATGCATTGGATTAAAACATTGTACCATTTATAAGCCAGACCACATTTCCATTTTCTAGTTATAGATATCTAGCATTTAGATGTTAAATAGTACAGAGTATAAGAGAAGTTCCAAGTGCATTATTCAGCTATATAAAAAAAAAGGAATTGCAGCTTTAGTGATCTATAAGCAGTTTGCAAGTTGAATTTTCAAATGATTCTGAATCGAGATGTACAAAATGTCTCAGACACATGTCTTCTAAATCACTGTGTGGGAATTGCTATAAAAGAGAGTATTATTCTTTTTGCACCAGGAAGAATTCTTTAAAGCAGCTTAGTTTCCTAGTTTGAATCAGTGTTTTCTCGGACAGAGAATTTGAAAAAATCTGATGTTGTCCACCTATGAAATGAAGCAGATGTCTTCCGCGCTCAATTATGACTGTGCTAATCTCAAAGAACAGGCAGATTATGGGCATAAATTCCTTTTTAAAAGATCCTGGAGAAATTGTATTTGATGTAAAAACTCTCTTGAAATAATTTACATAAAAAATAATTACTTATTGGTAATGCTACCACTTTCCTTTCTCTGTCTGAATTCTTTGAGGGCATATATTTTGGTGACATCGGTCAGTAACGAATTCAGACACTGCATTTTTGATCATAAAATAGCTTGTATTTTAATGCATATTAACATGGACTGGCGTTCTGAGAAGTGAGGACACCCATTCTAGCAGCTGAGGAGGTCAGGAAGTATCGGATACCCAGCCAACATGCACACGTCACAGTGCTTCTCAAATATTATCAGTACTGGGAGGGGGATTTCAAAATCTCAGTGACTTTGTTTCTGCGTTTTCGTAAGTTACGTAATTCTGCCAATGTAAGAAAAGAAGAACTACATTTCAGGGCATTTTGGATCTTTTAAAGCAAACTTTAAGAAGCTGGTCATAGTGAATACTGCTCAGGAATAAGAATGGTTACATCTCCTTCCTTCATTCAGTCAGAAAACCGTATTTTGGTGGAACGAAGCTATTCTGTCACGTGGGCTCAAACATCATGTCATAAATCAGGGACAGCGGCTTCCCTCTCTGTCCATCCGTGAACTTGTTTGGATTGGGGGACCCGGGTAAAGCCGGCTGTGGTGGGGGGTGCCTGGGAGAGCTGGTGAGACAAGGTACCTAACACCTTCTCCTAGAAAACACTGTCTTCCCCGGCCTGGACCAAAGCCTGAAATTCCTACACCGGAGACTCCTTCCTGTTGGTGCTCTGTCCTCCTAGTACATCTTTCCAGCCACTCGGACGCGTTGATATGGGGCCTCCGAGGTCCTCTGCTGACAGAGGATTCCAATTGTGGGGAAGGACAGAGCAACGTAGCCCGAGTCTCAGAACAGTGGCAAAAAAAAAGGAAGGAGGTGTCAATACCAGCATTACTTAGCTTGGAGGTTTGCATGGGGCCAGCCCTGGTGGGAGGAGTCAAATTATTTTGCTGTGTGCTTTAGGGATTTGACTTTGAGGCCCCTCAGGTGAAGGGATGCTCTGTTCTGTATATCCGAGGGGCAGGTTGATTTCAACATAGTTCCTCGTCCAACTTCACACTTGAGGGAGATAGTCATTCACTCCCGGGCTGCTAATTCAGTGGATATACATCCCGTCTCTCCCTTTGGGAAACTCTGATTCTCTGATCGAGCTTTTCGGGCTCAGCTATCACACAGGCACATCTCCAGCCTCTTAGGGAGACAGGCCTATTTAAGGCCACAAACCCCAGCTGCCTGAAGAATCTCAAGGTCCCAAGAGCTAAAAAAACCAAAATTGGCATCAACTCCTACTTCGCTTTGGTGTGATGAAAGCCAGAGTGCTTGTCAAAACTCACTTACCATTCTGGTTTAGTTAGAGCACAAAAAGGGGTGGGGGGGCCGGGAATATAAACAAACTTTTTGGAAAGCCCTCTGCCTCACTGGCTTTCAAAATCAGTGTTGCAAGACAGGAAATGCAGTCGAATTACAATGAAAAATGCTGTTTTGAAAGATGTGTTGGTGAGATGAATGGTGGTGGTGGGGTCGGGATGCCTCAAAAAGACACTTGTCATTTAAATAGGAAATGTTCGGTCAAACATAAAGCTTTCTCTAACTTGCAATTTCTATAACATATTTCATCACAATTCTGAATTGTAGTGACTAAAGCATTGCCTATATTTTCATTCAAAACCTATTTTTTAAATGAAAGAGATTAAGCGACACCCCATTATCTCACTAATCGGGGTTGTAATCAAATAGAAATTTAATAAAGAGTGTTTTATAAGGTCCAAGGCAGGACTTCGAACATGTGCCTTCTCCCACCTGGGTGCAGTAGTTTCATAAACACTCCAATGGCCACGACTGGAAGTATTAACTCCATGTTACATAAAACAGTGTAACATCACTTCATAAAAATCCTGAAAAGCTGCTACCATAATCTATTGGTAACGCGATAAACCTAAACAGCCCTGGGATTTATTATTATTTTTTTGTGATGTGATCCTATCGCCGTTTGCATAAGTAAGGAAGCAAACTGAAACTTTAGAATTAGAGGCCGTATTTAAAATTTTTCCAGTTGAAATGAATTTTGAATGATTCTATTTCTACCCTGTTCTTTTCATCGTCTTTTTCTTAACAAGGCCTTCTGGTTGTACTTGGGGACAGCCAGTCTTGGGGGAGAAGTGGTTTCCTGAAGGCATGCTTTTAGCTCAGTTTCAGGTCCCTAAGGAGTGAGGGGCGAAGGCGTGGCGATGGAGGCGGACTTGCCGCGCTCCGGGCGAGCAGAGCCTGGGCGGCGGGCAGGAAGCTCGCTGTGCGCCCAGCTGTGCCCGACACTTCTCCGTCCAGGGTCAGCTCCCGACTCACAGAGTAGGCGGGAGCCAACGGGAAGTAGTTCACCTCTGAGCAAAAATGGGCAAAAATGGACCAGGAGAAGACGCACAGACTATGAGTCTTAAAGACAATGTCTGATGGCGTCGGGTTGATCTGACTGACATATCAGCAAGAAGAGGGAATCTGCAAGTGTGAAAAGACATTGAACTGAATGACAGTGCACTTTAAAGACACCCTTGCAGAATGTACCTTTTGGGATTCTGTCACTAATTTATCACTTTAGTCTGTTTACATTCTCCTGCTCCCTCAGCATGTGCAAGAGCAATGTTAGGACATTTTCTGTGTCTTTAGAGCTGTAGTTACTAGAATCAACACGATGGGTGAACAGAGGGGAGACAGATTCACACATCTTAGGCATCGCTGCAGCTTTGGGAGGCTTCTCTAGTGCATGAATTGGTCTTCTCTGCAGATCACAGGTTTCTTTTTATAATTAGCTTCTCCTTTCTGTCACGGAAGATGGAGACTCCTGCAACCCCTCTTAACCTAGCAGGGCTCAGGTTAGTGACTTTGATCTCTGTCCCTCGCATGGTGGTGCCACCCCCTACTTTGTGGGCCAGGGTTAGTCTTGAATTGAGAAGATAAGAAGAATACTTACGGTTCCCCCCCACCTTGAATGTTTTCATGAGTAAACACAGGACGCTGTGGCTGAAATGAAATGATTTTCAATGTAATCAATGTTTAAACTGGTACTAAGCAACAAAAAGATAATTTGGATAATGGCATGGTACATTTCTTGACATTTAATATTTCCTGTTGTAAAAAACCAAGAGGAAGAGGAAAAAAGCAAATAAAGGGTTTCTGCAGGATTAATAATTAAAATATTTTGAAGGGCGCCTTCAATGAATTCAAAATATCTAGGGTTCGAATGTTTTGACCATATCTACAGTCCAGTCTACTCAAGTTTTAAGGAAAAGTCAGGGCTCAGTCCCATTGATTTTTCAAAGGCCAGGAGTATGGTAAGAACATGGATGTCCAGCCACGGGAACGGGAGGTCTGGACACCCGCACACAACTTCATTCTTCAGCGTTTGCTCAAGCAAGCAGAAGATCAACACACTGAGGCCCACAGCAAGGCATCCGCATTCATTCTGACACACTTTTCCCTCACAGACAACATTTCCACATACGGCACGGATGAAAGCGTCCATAGGCGGACATCCCATGCTACATTTGAATTAACACTCTTTGTTTTCAGTGTGGAGAAAGCTCATGCATTTTTAAAAAGAGAAAACAGAGAGCTTTCCATAGAATGCAACGAACAATATCCAGGTAACATGTAACATTTTACCTTAGAAGAGAAATATTGGCAGAAGTCCCCAGTGCACTGAACTGTCAAAAGAGCTTCCTTTCTTTTTAAACTAAGCATCAAGAGCAGTATCTGTAATAGATACTTATAATATTGGAAATGACAAGCCTTAGCATCCCATAGAGCCACATGAATATTGCAGTGAGTGAACGTTAACACGTTGAGTATGGAAATTTAATGTTGTTTATACTGACTACCTAAGTGTTACATTTTAGGGGGAAAAGACTATAATTTTCACAACATTTCAAAAGCATTCTCTTCTAAAGGATGCTTCATGGCGAAAGGAGGTAAATCAGAGTTTGCGTGGCAGTTATCAGAGTGACTGTTTGATGCCTACTGAATTAGTGATTAGGTAGATCATGTTCTTAGACATCAGGGCCGGGGCCGATTCCTGGATCCTAGAGTTCTGAGTGGACTGCTGACCGGCTGGGTGATTTCCCCCTGCAAATTGCTCGTAGAAACCCCGCTGGTCCAAGGCTGGATGGGGAACTCTGGGGTTCCTTTCAGTCTGTGAGGCTTAATCTGCTATTCTCCTAAATTCTTTGTCCACTCTCTTTCCATCTAAGCTGTCTGTCTAGCTTAAGGAGAGTAGGCACTTACATTACTAAACCTTTAAGCTTTGACTGTATTAATTGGAAGTGTTTGTTAACTGTATTGTCCATTCAACAGTCTGTGCATGGAATACGTAAACTTAAGACTAAAGAGCGGGTAAAATGGTTGGAGACACGTATGATTTAAGAGAGTACAATACTTTACTCCTATAAATCAATACAAAGTTACTAACAATGTATCTATTATTAAAACTATAAAATATGCTATTTTACAAATGATGAAGACTAAGCTATTTTAAGGCCATTTAATTTAACATATTATTAAATTTAAATATATGAAATGAGGAAAATATAAGTCATTTATGAGCCTGTATGCTATTACATTTCTTCAATTTCCTGTCCAATCATATATATATATATATATATGTAAACTTTTAATGTGGAAATAAGATGTATTTATATATATTAATTGTATTAATATTTTGTAATAATTTTCCAGTCTTTTTCATTTTAGATCACTGCAGAGCAACAATCACTCATATGTGTACATACACATTTTACTTTATTGTTTTGCTCTTTTTTGTTTTGGAGTTAAGATTGTTCTAGCCTTTTCTCATCATAAATACTGTGAACATTTTATACAAATAACTGTTTTCTTCTTTCGGATCATTTCTGAGAAGATATTTCCAGGAGTAAAATTTCTGGCCAAAGATACATTCAAGCCACATGCCATTGAAACTGCTCACGCTAGTCACTCAGACATACTGTATATAAAAAATGTAGCTTTTTAACAAAATCTAAACTACCATGTTTCAAATCACATATCAAGACGGGCACTGTTCTCTCACGAAAAGAGTTATATAGCACCACTTCTGGTGCACAGTGAAGTTATAAATAATAAATATTATTTGTTCTTGCCTGAAGAACAAATATATTTGTAAAATATATTTCATTGTGCTCTAAAAATGGTGTATCTATTTCCAAATATTTAAATTATTCTAATTCTTTTAAGTTGAGTTACAATTTGACTTTTACTTGTGGCATCTGGGGCTAGGTAAAAGGAATTTTATTGCTTCCTTGTGCTAAAACATGAATACAACTTTAAAAATCAGATTGCTCATTAGTATAAAACAATCTACTTTTAAAATCAGTATAGCGCCTTTTTGTTACTGTCATTACAATTTTGCTAATTTAATTCAGCTCATCTCATAGGTCATTTAAATGAATCACCCCTTTGACAATGATAAAAATTGGGCTATGGCCAGAGGTCTGTGGCTCCCTAATTCCACATGCCTTTACCTCTCAAGAGCTTGTGTTCCTGGATGTGCTGGTCAGTAATGTCTTGCTTTCACCCAGCTTCCCCACTGTCTTTTCTTTCTTTAAAAGGACCTTCCCTTACCTTTTTTTCAACCTTTTTCTTTTTTTCTGAATCACCAGTTTTCTAAACTGTTCACGTTCTCAGGCCAGGATTTAGCACAGCTGTTATTAGCATAGAAGTCGTATATCTACTATAATGGTGAGTTTTAGAACTTCCGTGACATTATCTTTAACAGGAATCATTTCCGTGCATATGTGTAGACCTGGGAACCAGTGTTGAGGGAAGATGACTATTACAGCATTTGAATTAATTTACTTTAAAAGTATTTGGTCACTAGGGGAATAACTCGCAGTGACAGATACATTTATGTCTTTCTGGTGTTGGCATTGACTATTTAACCTTGGACATGCGCCTTAGGTTCCTGATCTCTAAAATCAAGGAGTTGGATGAGATATGATTAAGAGCTTGCTTGTCCCCCTCAGGGAATCCATAAAGGAATCCACATGTCCACAGACCTATTTCCTGGGTTATGTACAAGTGCCATCATCAACCCTACTTATTCAGTTCTCAGACAGCTGCGACAATTGACATTTATTGGATAATTCTCAAGTGTCTCAGTCATGTAAAAACAGTAATAATTCAGCTTCGTTTTGCAGATCAGTAAGCCAAAACCCAAAGATGAATTCTTAATATCACATATAAGCAAAAGAAACAGAATTATAATTTTGACTTTTACTCTTTATTGCATAAAAGATGACTGTGATGGCCTACGTTGGTTAAAATCGACATCTTTATATTTTCCATTACGCAGTTGTTTCTGTTCTGTGTGGATACACAAGCAAGCAAATTATCTTAGGGGGTCTATCTTTCGCCCTCTGGGGGTTATAACCAGGGGGTAAACCTTGAGGGAGGGATCTGATCTGTAAGGTGCCTGCACTCTGTTGCCACCTAATGGTGAGCAGTGGCACCAACATGCTAAGAGCTGGGGCCTTTAGCTCTCACCAAGTGCCTTCAGCCTGGATTCATTTTGGAAGAATATTTTAAAGACCACAGAGCGACGTGGACTCGATATCCATCTGTTTTTCTGACCATGTTTTTCCCTTCCCACGTTTTAAATTCTTGAGAAAGGATCGCTCTTTGGCCACCAGAATTTTTGGTCTGTGATCATTTCTATTTCAACCCTCTACTCAGGCGTTTCTATTACTCATAACTTAGCAGTTTCGCAATAGATGCAGAACAATACACATTCGTGACACTCAGAAAGGCTCCCGTGAACTGTGACTTTATAACTGTGGTTTCCAAGTCAACAGATTATAGCATGCTTGTATCATTTTGAGTCTTGAGAGTACAATAAAAATTAGAAAACCCAATGGAGCATCGTGCTGTTTTCATGGAAGCCTAAATATTTAACTTTCCCGTTGGAAACGTAACAATTATTTGTTCTCTTTTAGTGGAGCTATTTTTAATGTCAAAAATGGATACAGTTGAGACAGGTTTTAAGCACATGCTAATTTTCAAAACCAGAACCAAATCACAAACCACTGATCATACCAGAAGCTGGTCTGAAATATCCTAAAATCTCTGGTATCAGTAAAACATGTACTTCCCTGGCTTCAGTAAAATATATGCTTCCCTAGCTCAGAAGGTGAGGCAGTCTGTCCGAAATCCATCTGTTTTACCTGTGTTGCTGCAGAGGCATCTCTGGAGGGTTACCTATATCCAGTATTAGGTAATTCCTAAATTGGATTGACTGCTACTTTAAATACTAATCTGGAAAAGTCTCTGAAGGAGTTAGAAGCAGTTCTAGAGTCCTTAAGTCAATTTCCCCCCAGAAAATGTTGGTTGTAGCACTTGCCAACCAGGATTAGGTGAAATTCTTCTTCAACAGTCCCGTTTCTGCATATAGGCCCATTTTTCCTTCTTAAATTATGAAGTTAAATCAAATTTTGCATAAATCTAAAGAACAGAGAATATTTATGTTCCAAACCAACACATATAACATACAAACACATAGTGTAAAAATCTGGCAACAGAAAAAAACTTAAGGTGACCCGAAGCATACCATGTCATCACTGACCCATGGCAAATTCGTGGATGCTCATGTTAATTATGGAAAAAGCTTTTATTTTTTTGGCACTCTGTGGAGCCTAAGAATCTCTTCAAATCAACATTCCTCTTTCTCTATGGCAACACACATCTCTGCCCCAGAAACAAAACGAGGTCTTATGATGCAAAGAGACAAAGAATACAACGACCGCATAAACACAGAGCAGTCTCCATAGTTTTAAAGAGCAGAAAAGGCAACTTTCTTTGCAATGAAGCCCCTAAACACTTACAGACCTACAGCTGTGTAACAGACCCTGTAGGGTTAAACCGGATCCCTCAAGATAGAAATGGGGAAAGGACTGCCTTATGCAGAGACGAACACCCCCGGCCCCCCTGGCTGCCTTCCTCAGAGTGGATAGTACCAT